TCCATAACTAGAAACATATTTTTTGCATACAATTTCAGAATGATTTCAGAAGTAGTGTTTGCTGAGTCAAGGGTATCACAAAGATTATGAAATGAAAACCACGTGGTGGAATACTTTTTTATGTTTAATTATACTAGTTAAGGTGTTATAAAATAATCTAACTTCTATCGTGTTCAAATATAATTTTAAATAAATATTTTACAGATAGTTAATGCACAAGGTGATTTAAAAATTAACAAAAATGACGCCATTATTGACAAATATGTAAAAGAACAACTCAAACGTGCTACACGCTCATTAGAAAAAAGTTTCGAAAAGAAGATTCGTGTGAAAAAAAGTAGTATCATTAAATAGTTATACATTTCCAATATGTTTGTGTATAAATAAATTTTTATCTAGGTACCCAAGATTCAGATGTATCATTCCATGAACAATTTTTGCAAATTAATAACCAACCTTACTCGCCATTTTTAAAATTAGCCCAAACTCATAATTTCAATACAGTATATGCAGTTGATGAAAGGAACATTTTAAAATTCAATGAAAATAATTTAGAACATATCATTACTTTTAAACATGAAAAAATCCCGGTTTTCGTAGAGGTAAAACATAAATGACTTATTTCTTTACAACGTCTATTAATGCATTTTCGATCAGGTCGTCAATTGGATGAAAAATATTTTATTGTTTTTGGTCAAATTCGAAAACGATTTTGTTTATGTGTATCAATCTACAATTGATCAAAATCCAGTGCAAACAATTAAATTATCAGTTACTTCAGTTAAATGTTTTCATCGACAAGATATATATTGTATGTTTGTTACGCAATCTGGTAATGGGAAGACGGATGCCAGGTAATAAAAAGTTGTTTTATTTTATGAAATCAAGTCATAGAAAACAATGTATTTTTTTTAAGTAAACCCAAATTTTCTGGATAGATAATATTATTTACAATTAATTTTTTCTGAACATTAAAGCCTTGTTTCAAAAAAATTCGTGATGCTTGGTAATTTCATAGTCTTTCAATATACAATGTATAAAGTAATTTTCAATGAACGATTTTTAATTTTTTTTTTAATTTGAATCTTTAAAAGTTTGAATCAATAAATACTATTTTTTCCAATATATTTTATTTAATTAAAATCAGATTATTTAAATGGGTCGAAACGCATTTCGATGTTCAAGAGAACCTAGAAGTACCACATGTGTCTTCTATTATTGCATTTAAATGGAAAACAGATGACTTAATTTTGCTAGCACCCAAATATGGAGAAGGAAAGGTAGATATTAATTTTAAAATAAAAAAAAAAATATCTTCTACATATGTTATTAATTTCAGGCATCGTTGTTACTGCAATGGAATGGAAATAATTTAAAAAAAGTGCAAAATATGAAATTCCAAACTTCTTGTCGTGATTGTCTTAAATATTTTCAGTTCCAAACAAAATTTTATGTAGTTTCTGATAAAACTGTATTGGTTTGGAATGGTCATCGTTTAGTACAAGTTGGCAGTTTGGATCGAAAACCCGAATTTGGTGAGCCAACTTCGGTAGATGTATGGAGCAATGACAATCGGGCTGTGGTATTTGTTTTTTATAAGGTAAGAAAATGAAAATACAATATAACTAGGTGTGTCATTTTGCCTTAAAGCAAGTTGCGTAATCAACTTAATCAATATTGAAAATTAAAGTTTTCTTTTAGCAGTTTTTAAAGCTACCAGAAGTCGCATTTGTCTCTTGAAAATGGGTGTTTATAAATAAATTCTTATCAATAGTTTTCATTAAACTTCACGTTTCCAGCGATTGAATCCTATTTTTCAATACGTTTTTGGTTTGAAATTTTCTCCTAGTCGGTTTCAGTCAAATTTTTATCGGGCAATCACCAAAAAAATTAATCATGAATCATTCTTCAAAATGTTCACTATTAGAATTTGAATATTAATTTGCAGTTTTCTCTGTAAAAATTGTCTTATTTACAACTTTCTTCACAAAGTGCTTTAAAAATCTGATCACTGCTTAAAAACAGAATCATAGTGTGTTTTTTGCTTTAGAATTAATCTTATATTTAAAAAATGCTTGATTGTTGTGTTATGCTTTGGATATATATTTTTATTATAAATATATTATAATGTTGCAGCATTATATAGTTGTGCACAAAGTCTGGGACAAATTTCGTGTTGGAAATTATCGAAAAGTAAAAGAAAACATTGCCTCAGCAATCATAGTCAATTCTTCAAATGATGAAAATTCATTTATCACATATAGTACGTTATTTAAAAACAGAATATATCTTCAAACGATTCCATTTTCTGTTAAAATGCAAGATGAAGGTATAAAATACAAATGAATTTAACAAAAAAAATACAATATTTAAATTAAATTTCTTTACAGACGTTGTGGGATCCCAGTTGGATCCTCTTATGCAATGTTTTAGTAGTCTTCAAAATGCTATGTTAGTAAATCGTGAAAATATCAAGAAATTAGAATCCGAGGTATAATATACAAATTATTTAAAGTATCGTTTTGTAATTCATTGTTTCAATGTAATTTTATATTGTATTATTATTATATATTGAAACCAGGTTCCTTCTATTCTACGCATCGATACTCCACAAAACTATTCAGGAGTTCTAAAAGTTGGTGTCGCGACCAAAGTGCGATCGGGTACCGTATCCAATGGCCAAGAAAATTTCTATTATTTGACTAGTCCGACTGAATTATTACAAACTGTAGTTGAACTACAAAATAAGGCTGGAAATCTTAACAGTATGAGAGATCATTTCCTATATAAATCGCGCCCTAATACGGTAAGCAAAATTAAATAAAAAAACTTTTTTTCATGTATAACGTCTTGAATTGATTGTTATTTTGCTCAAGTACTAATATTAAAATGTATATTATATTTGTTTTTCAATATTTACTTCAATAAATCACAATTCAATTTAACTCACAAATATCATAATTTACAGTCGATTCATTCTACTATATAAAATCGTATTCATTACCTGTCTTAAATATGTACTTTATTCCAAATTGTGGTATGTTATCCTAGATTTCAGTAAACGTGTATGTCCCTGGAGGCGTTTCAACAATCGAAGGCAATTTAGGTTCAGCTTCTGTGTCCATGGCCACCGGACTAGATGGTATAGTTTTCCTTGATCGTCCGAGCGCTCCAGACTCCATGGAATCAGTTCTGGTAGCCCAAAGTATAAAAGCTCATCATTTGTACACTGCGCCTGGAACAATTGTCGATGGTAAGGCTCTTAAATAGAATTTGATATATTTTCTTAATTGAATTTAATTTGTCTGTATTTACAGATCTACTCCTTAGTGCAGGAGATCAAAAAATTACCGGAATATATTCCGGTACCAATTTGATTTTAAATAATATTCTACCTTCTCCTGGTTTGATAAATGATGTCCCGATCGAAAATTTAGTTGAGGCCAACGATGGAATCGTATATGGTACAAAAACAGTTCAAAATTTGTTTGTAAACAATATGAACGCCACTTTATTTAATCAGGTAAGCGGAATACAGCCGAATACATTACATAAGATATTCTTCATTTTATACAATAATAGTAATATTTTGCAGGTCGACACTTTAAGTTGGATAGAAAATATGAATTCTGAGTTCGAAGGAAATTTGGCGGTGTATGAAAACATTTCTGTCAAAAATCTGGATGTCGAATATCTGAATGGCATCAAATGGAATGACTTTTTAAAAACTCTTTACTTGGATATTGATGGTCATTCAAAAATTGAAGGTAACTTCATTAAATTTATTCACTTTAGTACTTCAATGTTAAATCTAACAATAATTATTCAAAATTTTATAATTTAAGGCGACTTGATTATAAAATCACGATCAAGAGTTCATTCTGGTCACTTGCAAAGCATATTTGGAATCCCAGTAGAAAATATATTTACAAAAACAACAGACCAAGTGATAACATCAAATATAACGATACAAAATCTTCATGTAGAAGAAGTTGTAGCAGGATCAATAAACAGTTTAAATTTCAAAGAAGCTATTGCTGCACCAGGAACCAACATCAGTAAATACAATTTACATATCAAGCCTGAGTATTTAATTCATTTTTATTCTATTTTTAGGAAATGTTGAAATTGAACATTTAAATGTAGAACACGATTTGACGTTAAACGATAACTCCTTGTTTGATAAACAAATTCCCGGAACAAAACTATTCGAACTTTTGCAAATCTATAATGGCAAGGTTTTGATCAAAGGTTCAGTAACAATACCAAACTTGCATTTAGAATCCGATGCAAAAGTGTATTTACAGGACAGTCCAGTGTTCATGAACATACCGCAATATTATTGGACGAAAACCAATGACCAGGTAATCAAATCACTAGGTAATATATAATTACTAATAAGGTGTTGACTTATTTTATTATTTAGGTCGTAAAATCCAATGTCACTTTTGTGAAAAATGTGAAAACGCCTCAAGTTTATTTGGACAAAGTAAATTCCCAAAATTGGTCACAGTATATTACTAAAGATGGAGAATTATCAACATTTGGACATTTGATATTCAGTCAAGCAGAAATCGGAGGCAATTTAAATTTTGATAGATCAAATGTGATGTACGATCCATTTTTACAAGTGCTTTATGAACATGCTGTTCGTCTCAATGGAAAGTAAGAACTTATAATTGTTTGACCCTGGAAAAACTATATTTACATATTTTACTTATTTCCATATTTTTGAAGAAGTTTATTTTAGCCAGAAAATTCGCAAAAGTATTGCAACATGTAAACGAATAAAAAGGATTTACTGTATATTATTATTAATCAAGTATCATCTATTCTAGGTGTACCATCCAAGGTGATGTTGAATTCACTGGTGAAGCTGATGTTAAAGATGCTAATGTGCAAATTTTGGATGGAATACCAGTTTCTAACTTAGTGTCAAAGACTGATACCAAAAAAAAATATTTCAGATGTATTTGTACTTTATAACATCAAATTTAATTTTAAAATGTGTATACAATAAATTTAATTTACCGTAGGTTCCAAAACTATACCTTATATGAATGTGTCTACACTTATGGCAAATGATGCATGTGCTGCATCATTAAACGGAGTCGACTTAAAAAAATATTTTGATAATTTGTTGAAGATAGATGAACCTGCATCTTTTGGTGAACTTAATATCGATTCCATAGCCGGTGAAAAATTATCTCATAATATAGGAAATATAGAATAGTTTATATTAGGATTTGAAAAAATAAGATATCTTCTATTTTCTAGCGGAATATATAAATTTGGAAGAGCTAAAGACAATAGATGCTGCCAATGTTGGAAAAGGCAATGAACAGTATCGTAGCAATGAAAATGATGGAGAATCACCAAAAGTTATTCGAATCAACGGGAGCGTTCATATTAAAGAAATCAAAAATCTTCAATCAGTGAATGAAATTGATCTTGCAGAATATTTGGACATGGTAACTACTATTTACATTCTTTAATAACAACCATTAATTTTACGTTTATTGACAATGATTTGTAGGTTGTTCTCAAAGACTCAAACAAACAAATTGGTGGTCGTAAGATATTTACAGCGCCGGTGACAATATTAGAAGAACTAACAGCTCCTGAAATATCTGGTGTAAATTTATACGATTTATATAACTATGGTCTTACTAAATCCACAAGTCAAAATATTACTGGGCATTACGAAATTTTAAACATCAAAACAGGTATTAATGTTTAAAATTATATACCATTTTTTTTTTTTTGTTATTTCTTCTTGGATTATTGCATAACTCGGAATGATGATAGATTTGGTGGTAAAAACGGAGGCAAAAGAAAAGCGAACGTCATTCTGATTACCAAAGATATCATCATACCAGGTTCAATTAAAATCCAAGACTAGCAACGGAAGATGTCTACTTGTGACACTCAACTATGCACCTTTTTTCAGATAATTTATTCGCAAATTATGTGAATAATATAAATACGGAGCAGCAATTAATCGATATTTCCATTTCTAATGAAATCAATTCTCCGGTTTGGTTCAAATCACCTTTAAGTGTGCAAAATATGATATGGAACAGCCAATGTTTTGTGAATAGTTCAAATTTATACGAAATGCCAAATAAGAAATGGAAGTTGATGTACATCCAAAACCAACTTCAACATCCAGAGTTGACCAAAGTTCTTGAAAATATAGTAGAAAATGCTGTTACTGATGGATTCGCTAAAAATATTACTGGAAAAGTATACCACGATTCATAGTGTTGCTTTTATACTTCCAAAGTATATTTGTTTTATTGTTTTAGGTGAGATTTACAGGAGCAGTTACGTTCGACAACATCATAACAACTAATTACATAAATAACGTAAACTTGGATTATATTGCGCAAGACGCTTTATTCAAACATTCCTCAGACGTTTGTATAACTTTATTTTTTCAGGCATTAAAAATCATTATTATATTATTTCTTTTGTGTGCAGGTTAAGCACATTAGCTGTTCCAAAACTTTTATTAGCCCTACAGTATTGTCACAAGGTGAAGTATTGGGTGACTTTGATGCATTTATCATCAATGGTGTTAAAATCGATGAATTGAATGAAAGTCTTGTTTGGAAAAATGAAGATGCTGTCATAACAGGCAGCAAGATTTTGAAACAAAACGTGTTTGTTGACGATTTGATAGTAAGATTCATCATCCTTTCAATAAAACAGAAACGTATCCTTCGTCCTTATTTATTGGTGATTTCTTTTCTAGGTTGAAGGTTTGGTCAATAGTGTTGCAGTAAATGATGTGGTTTTCTTCGAAAATGATCGTCCAATTCCTAATATTGTATTCAATACTTTGCATATAAAAGATAATTTGCAAGTACAGGATATAAATGGGCGTAATTTGGATGAATTTTTGTCTAAAAGAGTACGTTTACGAGGCGATGCCCAAAATGTATCAGCACACGTCCAATTCGCAAAATTAAATATAGCAGGTATTTAAAATAGCACTAAAGCAAAAATATATGTAATTAAAACATTTAGTTAAATATTTTGATCCCCAGGGCCTTCTTTTGTGTCAAAAATAAACAATATATCTTTGGATGAAGTCGTTTTTACTGATGTAGCAACGTCGGACACCATTACTGGAATGAAAGTGTTCGAGAAGGGTTTAAAAGTCTATGGAGATATTTCCGCAAATTTCTGAACGATTTTCATTTGCAAACTACGTATTCCAATAGTATTAGGAAAAATAAAGATTATTATATATCACATGTGGTAAATATTAAACCAGCAACATACCAATTTTCATCTAGTAGCTTCTTTCATTGTATAAATGTGTTAACTTTTTATAGGTATTTAATAATCCAGTACAGCTATTAAATGGCTTATATGCTCATGCCTATGAGAATCAAACCTGGTTAAACTTCTACGCGAAACCTTTCCTGGACAATACATTTGCCCAAGAGATGGACACGAAATTAAATTACACCTTCAACAGCATTAAACGTGAGAGTCTGAAGTTTAATAATTTCGAAAAATGCAAATATAATTTTTAATACTATTCACAGCGTATTATCATTATTTGTACTTGGAGCCATCAGAAATACGGATACTAGAACCGCCATCCAAAAAAGTCGAGACTATCAGGCCAGGATTTTTACAACTTTCGAATGATGTATCAGGAGAAGTCTGTTATTTGCCACAATTTTGTCCTTGCTCTGTACAATACACAGTTAGTCATAAAATTATACAACATATTACAAACATTATTAAATGTTAATTTACTTTATTCATATTTTTGTAGGTGGATATATCAAATCAGCGTTCTATCTCTATTTTGCCTGGAAATGCTACACACAGAGTATTTTCCTATCATGATGATGGTATAGGTATCAATATTTTTACGAATTCAATTAGCACGAGTGCATTTTGCAGGTAAGACAATATTTCAACATTTAAAACTTAACGAAATTTACACGAAAGCTAGTTTTAATCTTTGTTTCCAGTACTGCTAATGAAGAATTAACTTACGTTACTTGGATGGAACCACAACGCGAAACACCTGACAGTACACCTATAGGTATGTATTCAACCTTATTCACTAAAATTTGACCAAATCTGGTTAAAATGAAATTATTTCTGCACACAGGTGATATTACTATTGACCAAAAATATTACAATGGATATTTGAGTGATGCAAAATTCTTCAGAGATCGTAGTAGTCGTATATTTCTCGTACTGGCAATGTATTATGATAAATCATCTGATTCTCATGATATCGATTCCTTGTTACTCGAATTGAACATGACAACGGTAAGTGATAATATCGATTTAACAAAAATCCTTTTAGAAGTTTAGTTTACCAAATTAGATGCTCTGATTGTGAATTTACATACATAGGTAAAACTTGACGAAAACACCTTCATCAAAACCAAAATAATTATAAAAATAGCAGTAAGCAATGTAGAACCATAATGACCGAGCACATTAACGATTTAAATCACACATGATTTTTTTAAACTCAAATACTTCATATTTTGGAGGAAATCTGTTTAGGCGACGTTTTGCTGTCATTCAATTATATGTTAATAATCAATTTTAATTTTATTTTAATTAGAGGGAAACACACATAGTTCAGTATATTCCAACAAGATCTGCAACGACCTTAGAACTTCTGCAGAGTCCCTTTGGGACGCATCTTGTAATCTGCAACGCTGTGCAAAATGAGGACATTCAAGCATATTTTGAAATAATGAAATACGACCAAGAAAACTATCAGGTAAACATTTTTTGGTGAAAATGAACCATCATGATAATTCTTATTAATCAATTACAATTTCAGTTCAAACCAGTACGTACAGTTTCGACAGAAGGTTGTGGCTTGATGGCTAGCGCAGTTTTTGGAAAAGAGCAATTTATTTTTGTGGGCGACGAGAATTATAAAATTCTTAGAATTAATCGTTACATAGAACAGCTGGATATGTTCCATTATTTCCAGAGCTTTATATATGAGTCATATTTGCGTGGATTGCATATTTTCTACCCTCAAAGTAAAAAAGCCTAACTAAATATACTATTAAATTCAGCATTAAATAATAATACTCTTGTTTTATAATTTCAGATTCCAAAAAGGGTGAAGTATTATTATGTGTGACCACAGATAATGGAAACTTTTATATTTATGATTATACATACATTGAAGTAAGTTGGAAAATGCAAATACAATCATTACGAAATTCCGTAAACTTAATCCTTTCTCATTTTATTTTAGGGTTGGAAGCAAATATCAACAGGATATCTAAAAAATGTCCATGATGTTACACACTTCCAATTAAATCATGAAGAATTTCTGTTCATGTCATCCACATACAAAAATATGGTCTTCAGGATAATCAGACAAGGAATACCTTAAGTATCATTAGAAAAAAATAGCATGTAAATTTAATATATATTAAATGTAATTTTAAATTCCCATTGCTACAAATGTAAATCCATAAGTAATAACAAAAATATAAATATTACACTATATTTTCCTAAAAAACTATATTTAGCAATAAACAACAGCCACCATTAACAATTCTTTGGAAGTAAAACTACAATTTTATAATAAATTGCAACCTGCACCGCAACTAAGTTGTAGTACTTTTTTATAAAGTTCATTACTATATAATTAAATTCTAATTAATAATTACAACCTGCGTTATTGCAATTGATGCTAACAATATTTCCAATCAGAATATTAGAAATGTGTATGTTATAAGAACATTGTTGACCATCTAATTATGAAAGTATCATTACAAAATATATAAACTAAATTTATTTAAAATAATTTGTTCACAGTTTCGGCATATTTACTTTAAATGAAATGCATATTTATAGTATCAAATACTTTTTTGCATCTCATAAGTATACAAAACAAACTCTAGTATATTATAATTTTTATACTTGATTGACTAACTAAAATTGAAGGTTTGTTTGCGCAATGAGATCAAAATTTTGAACTTAGAAGAGTAAGGTAAAATTAGCAAATATTTCCTAAAAATTAGTGCTAATTTTACATATAACACTTACATAGCACCTGAAGACAAATAACACTAACCTTAAAAATAACTATTTTCAGATATATTTACAAATCCAACAAATTGATGCTTTAAGACATAATGCCATGCACCACTAGTTAATTTTTTAATTACTTCACCCATTAGTAATAATTAAAACAAGTCAAATCTCTTTACAGGCATGAAAACGGTCAAAAGTGTTATTACATTAGCCTATGAAATAAATTGTACAACAAATGTTTTAAATGAAGACATTTTCTCAATAAAGCTAATACAAAAAGCTAACAATTGATAGTAATAACATTGAATGCAAAAACCTTAATTTCCTTTTAAAAAACTATGCGAACGATACTGCAGTACTAAAAATATTATAAATAGGAATTAAAACCAAATACACCGACAGAGGGAAATTGTATATACTATTATACTTATTAGCAGCCGAATTTCCTATCTTAACAATGCATCATTGTTGATCTATGTTTGTTTAATTTATTGCTGTTTTCGTACGTTCTACTTCAGTTGATTCCCGAGTCTTGCGGGCATCACATCAAGGCGTGTCGACCCTAGCGCCAACCCAATGGGGTCGACTAGCCGCATGTTGCGGATGCCGAAGAAAGCAAGACAGTTTTGTGTAAGTGGGATTTTAACGCTTGTGCTTGGGTGAAGCCATGACCGAGTGCGATAAGTGAGTATTGCATTTTTAATATATTGGTCTTCATATACGCGGTATTAATTTTGCCTTAGAATGTTTTTACTGATTCGGACAAAAAAGTTTGAAGCTGATTTTTTGTACATAGATATGACAAAGTGGTGATGATATAGTCGATAATCAATTTTATGTTAATTAAAAAATGTGGACTTACGTTTCAAAGCATTTTTTCATAGATTCATATTGTGCAATTATTGTGCGAGACTTCAGTTATGTCACTCTAATGTCAAAATTTTAATTGCACTTCAGCAATTTAGTTTTAACGATTCTTAAAACGACACTGGATGATTGATACAAGACATTTTGAGCGTGGAAAAATAAATAAATTTATTAAAACCAGTTTTTTCTTAATATTGTGGAATTTATATTAATTTGTCGACACTTTATGACACCGTGACAATCGCGCACCTTAACAATTATCACACATGTGCCGCATCCTAACATAAAACAAAGAAAACCACACAAGTCAATAAAATCTGGTAAAATTGTATTTTCTTGAATTTTGTTCGATTTATATGTATTCAAAATGAAAAATTCTTTTATTTAATCACCATAACAAAACTTTTTTAATTAATTCACCCGTCATTTTTGACATGACATATTACAATCACCAACTTCAAGATAATTCATTAGCACTCGTCTCATTCGTCGAAGTGAATGCAACCTGAACTTAACGCAACGAATCACGTAGTTTGCACATGGAGATCGTTAATCGGCATTGTTAAGGTTAGTTTTAAAACTCTTTAAATACGGTTCGTTATTAGACTTAAATTAAGTGAAACACGCAAAAACGATATGTACTTATGATACAGGTAACAAAAATAACATTTCTGTAAAGTAAATAACAAACACCACACTAAATTGTCTCAATGAACTATCTTTACTATATCTATTTGGCTGTAACAAAGAAAATCTATTTTTCTTGTGCGGCAAGGTAATATAGCAAAGCATCACAGCCTGTGAAGTCATTTTAATTATACTATGCAATTAAGCTATTATTTCAGTGCCCTACCTCATATATTAGTATACTTTATTATACTCTAAGTTAAAGTTACGTGCTTAAGGAAAGCATTCAAATAAGTCGACCTCATTATAATAACACTGTTTATTATATATTATATGCTTTTTTCTTGTAATATTATGTTCATGTGTGTATTAATACTAGTACAAATTACTTTCCATGTCAGTCACAGTTACTTCAAGGGAAACCTTACATGCTTTTATACAACGGTGATATGTCATCATTGGAAGTTCACATGTCAAATTATTCAACAATTCAATTATTCAACTTAATTCAGTGTAAGATATTTCAATTCTTCATGTAAGATTTCCACCATTTTGGTCATGCATATTTGTGCTTTGTATTAAAGTATCTACTCAACGTAATATCTTACAAAAGTTTCATAATAAATATTACATACTTAAAATTGCCATGATATATTATTTTCTTCTTTCTTTCACAGCCCGAATATTCGCCGTACTTCTAACTTGGTTCCAGTGAGAGCTAGCACCTTCTTCAAAGAATCAGTGGTACCAAGACCCCAAACATCCATTGTCGCACGTGACATGCTTGCAATCCTAAAGGACGTAAGTGGGCATTATATAATTGATAATACTTTGTATATATATATATATATATATATATATATATATATATATATATATATATATATATAAACCTATTTAAACAGGCATCCATCCAGATGATAAATATAAAGAAACTAAATTATGTTTCTTAAAGTAAATTTAATGATCCATACGTTTCAGAGCTCCAATTTTACTCTTCTTCAGTGGCAATAGATATGTAAGTCTAATTGCTATATATTAGTAATTACATTAGATACAATTAGTTATATTACTATGCGCACTGAAGAAAAGTCAAATTGGGACTCGAAACATATGGACCATTAAATTTACATTAATAAACATAATTTAGTTTTTTTTATATTTATCTGGGTGGATACCTGTTTAAAAAGGTTTATGGTTTTATCAACACACACACACACACACACACACACACACACATATATATTATTATTATTATTACTGATTACCTTCCTCCTGAAAGGGAATGTAGAAATTTCCAATAACTTGGTCTAAGATTAGTTGGTTCTAATACTGCACAGTGAAATAAAATGGCAGTGCTAAAGCAATATAAAAATATAGTAAACCCAGGTACTTCTCGTACAAATCCTTTTAAAACTGCTATATTATAGGAAATCTGAAAAATTATATCATTATAAACATAAGGTCGAGAACAAATCATAAATTAGATAGTAAAGAAGCTTACATGAAGCATTTTCCACATCACGTATAATGCAATGTTATTACTTCGGTATTTACCAAATGCTAATCCTGCTAAAATACCTGCAGGTAAAGCATGCTCTGGCCTATCTTTCCCTGAGATCCACCTCAAAACACAAGATGATAACTGAAAATTTTTAATTCATGATTTCCAAATTCAAATACTTATTGCAAAATGAATTGTATAATCTTACTCTAAAAATACCGGTAAATCCACCAAGAAACATTGCTAAAGAATATGATGATTTGTTGAGTATTATATTTGAAATTTCTTTGGGCCTTCTAGCGATTGTTCCTATGCGCATGAAAATTCGGAGTCCCAATTGAAAGCATACACCCAAGGAGAACATTTTGAACCATCCCTAGAAAAGAATAGTAAAAGCCACTGGAGAATCAATATTCATCGAGATTGTATAAGTGTTTAAATCAAAAATTTAGGTAAGTCAAACATATCTTACCTGTGTAACATAATGCATACAACTTGCAGGGTGCAAACAAGTGTTATGCCTTGGTAAAGATTTAATCATTTCATTGAAATGTTTAATGAACTTAATTTTATGCAAGGCAGCTTTTCTATTTTTAATATCACATACTGCTTGTTCACTTTTATTTTTCAATTTATCACTATATCCAAATGCTTCATAAGGACCCACAACGAATCTGAAAACCAAAATCACCTTGAAAATGACAAAATAATTCAATTACATTTTTGTCTATTTACTTTGAAACAAGTCCAAGTTGATCTTTGCTCAAATAGTCGTTGCTTCTATAATAATACATAAGAATAGCAATGCTCATGGAAAAGATTCCCACTTCTCCATATTTTATAGATCGGACATATCCCCTAGACTTTAACATATTCCAAACAGTTTCTGTTGCTTCATTTGATACATATAAACATAATAAATTTCGTCTAGATGGCCGTTCTAGTAATATTGCAGCAAACGATGCAAGAAACGAAGGCACGTATGAGACTGTCAATATATTGTAATTGCCACAAACTTTTCTGAAATAATAAAATAAAAATATTGAGTAACATTGTTTCTGTGGGTTATATGAATTTGATTAAACAAACCTGAGAAAACATAAAAACATAGGGAATGTAAAACCATTTGTCGTTAAAAATGCTGCAGATTGTAGAATCCCCAGAAAAGTCTTTCTTAAGTCCGATTTATTTGGTACTTTGCCTCGCATCAATAGTCCGACCTAAAATCAGGAAATAAACCATAAATAATTTGTGGCCATGCCGTTTGTAACTTTAATATCATTCGATAAATAGAACTCAATAGTATAACTTTCTCATAATTATATATATATTTTGTGGCATGATGTTAGTGGTAATTCTTCTCCAAAATGGCTTGACGAATCTTTATGAAACAAAATTTTATAATCACATTCAGTATGACTTGGAGAATTGGACAACATCTATATTTCATGCGCCTGAGTGGTGAGGGTTGGTCGCCCTTAAGTTACTTTTTTGATCATTTTTTTTGTTTTATCATACATCCCTAAATTTTCACCCTCTTACTTCGAACCTCTATTTCGTTATAGTCATTTTAGTAATCGAATATTGTCAGTCTGAGTGTTTTTCACTGAATTTCGACTAAGATTTTTTTAAACTTACGGAAAAGCTAAATTTAACTTATTTTTAATTAAATGATGTAGACCCCTAAGTTTATGTTGGGATAATTAAACAATATCGCGACAAACAAATTTATTTTAGACTAAACTATTTCTAACGGACAAAAACGTTCTGCTTTCAATATAAAACTTTTAGAATGGTGAAAAACGTTTTCGTAATAACCCAATAAATTTCTTAGTTATTGAATTAATTTTCAACCGCTTTCAGTATGTGTTTTGGGAAATTTTACTAATTTTTTACTTTTACTACTTTGGCAAAAATGAACATTCAGATTTTGCTTTGTAATTCAGAAATTAATGAATTAATGAAAAGAGAGATAATTATATATTTAAATCTTGAATTATCAAATGTGCTAAATAAATTTAATGAAATCCGTTTCAAATTAGAGTGGCATTGGCAATGAAGAAATTTTTTTATGGTTAAATAACGATACATATAAATTTATTTATAAAATATTAAACTTAGTATCTAGATCTGTTGATATAAAAAATATATAATTTACAATAGTGTAGTTATTTAAAAAATACAAAAATTTTGATTCAAAACCTTCTAGATAAACAATGTGGGAATTGAATGGTGCCCACAAATGTCAAATACACTCACGCATACGAACATTTTGATACATCAACTTTGAAATATATATTGACAAATATATATATATATATTATATTTATAAATTTTATATTGTATACTCCTATTTAAAATATCCAAATCTAATAAGCGGAGTGTTATGAAAATAATTAGTTAAAATATTACAGAAACCACAGAGTTTTTTTTTACAACTATGGCTGAGGCTGCTGTAGAAGAAATTCCGACAGCTCCTGCAAGGTACTATTGTCATGGATGCTCTAGCGAATTCGATGAGATGAATCCGGGATATGTTTGCCCAAATTGCGCATGTGGATTCGTTGAAGAATTAGATCCACCAGTTGAGATGAGTGCGGAGGAAAATGGCCAGCAAAATGACCAGGAAAATGAAGGTCCTTCCTTCTTTGACGATCCCGTGGGAAATTTGGTGTCGTCACTTTTCCCTGGTTCTCGCAATCATCATAACTCCGAACGAGGGACTAGCACACACCACCAACACTATCCTCCGTTAGTCAACTTTCTGCACGACCTCGTGAGTTCGGCCGGTGGTGCTCATTTGGTCCAATCGACAACCACGATGACAGTCGGGGGTGAGGCAATGATGGTCTCAGGAAACATGGCCAATTACATTTGGAGCAGAGAGGGTTTAGACCAGATACTAAATTATTTTCTTAACCAAAGTGTTGACCCGCAACCTTTAGAACCAGAACAAATATCTACTTTACCGACCATTAAAATTACTTCAGAACAAACATCGGTTAAGTTAAGGTGTTCCATTTGCTGGGAACATTTTAAAGAGGACGAAATGGTGAGACAATTACTGTGCTCTCATATCTACCATGATGAGTGCATATTTCCGTGGTTACAAATGCATGCAACATGCCCCATTTGCCGAAGTAGGGTGCGCCCAAGAAGCGAATGAGAATACATTCATTTATAAAGCTTGTTAAGTTTCAACTTTAAATTTTTTTATTAATATGAGCATGTACTTACATTGTACATAATATGAAAAGCATAAGCTATAATAAAAGAACTAAAAAGAGTTGAATGTATATATATATATATATATAAAGGATGTCTGCCTGTGTGTTTATGTCCTATGCTTTCATAAACGATACATCTATCACCGAACAGGGTTTGCATATTTTAAATGAAACCAAAAATAAAGGTTAGCCACCCGGAAGAATTTTTAAAAATATTTTTGCCTATATTTATTTTTTTTATAATGCGTATATACAAAACACATAACCCTAAATTTTCACTCTCTTACCACAAATCCCTATTTCATAAGAAAAATAGTATTTGCAACATTTTTTATACCAATATCTGTTAGGGAACGTTTTTGACTGAAATTATTGATGAAGCTTAATTTTTTTTTTTTCAAGAAACATTTTATTTTCATTACGGGTTGACCACCTCTAACACTTTCAAATTGTTTTAAGACATTTCTTGCGGAATTAAAATGTAAGTACATATAGATATTAATATAAAGTAAAGCGGGGCTTGAAGCTCTACAGATAAAATCGTCCACCTAAATTTACGATATCTAAATATAATTTATAAGTATACTTTAATTGTTTTTTAAAAGATTTTTTATACAGCGTCTATAAAGGTGTGGCTGGGGTAAAAAGGACCAACACAACTTCACACTTGCAAAGGCGTAAAAAATAAATTTGGTTTTCACAGTATATTTATTGAAAGTCAAAAAATACTGATATGCTTATAAGCTTATATTTTGTGATGTTGAATGGGATATTTCACTCGAAGATGCATCTACAGCTCAACAATGAATCATGAAAGGTACGTGTGCTATTTTCCATCTTGATAACTACATGAAATAGAATCGCATTTTTGTTTAGATTTTTATGCATATGTATATATAATAGAAAAAGATTTAGATTCTGAAGACTAAGATTCTAATACTATGTATCTCATACTTACTGTATATGCAACTGTATATATTTTGATGGTCCTCTCGAAAGCCTGAAGTGTTAAATCAGCACAGGCATCAGAACAACTATTTGTCCAAGGGTGCACATATTCAATACAAGTAGTATCAATTGGTTTAAATTTACTCAACAACACCATTTTGGCGACTGAAAAATAATCGATATTATTAATACAGAATCAACTGCGATGAACAATTGTATTGTTTTTAATCAATATATTCGAATGACCCAAATATACGTCACTCAAATGATTTTATCAAAGTTCAAGACATTTTTTTTATTGAGATAACACACACACTTTTATGGTGTTTTTTATGAGTTGTTTGACTACGTACTTCGAGTTCGCAATGAACACAGGTGTTTAGATATTTTGATTTTGTTCAAAATATTTAAAAACAAACTGCATTTGGCGGTATCATTGTTTATATTCCATTTCAAAACATACAAATTGTCAAATGAATTGACATATGATCGAATTGAAATGTCAAAGTGAACGTTGCGGAATTTGATATAAGATGGAGCTAGTAGTAACTTAAATCCAAGCGCAAAATTTGAATTCACTTAATTCTCAAACTACGAAAATAATTATATTTCAATTCAATGAATTTCTAATTTGATGTAATACGTTTTTGTATGAACTCATGATTTTATTTAACTAAAATAACTTGGTGTATGTGATATTTTGCCTTGAGGCAATTTGCATTAACTTCCCGACACGTGCAAATAATCATAAAAAAACTGAGATTAGCTATTTAGATAAAATTTTCAACTGTTTATTTTGACTTTTTATTCGAAGCTAATCAATGGAATTTACATACTTTTCAAACAGAGTTTTAATATCTTTAATTGTATTACATTTTAAAAGCGCGGACTTTTCCAAACTTCAATAAATTTTTATAATTCAGACACTTTTGGTAAGACTAGAATTGTTACTATGAAAATTTACATCGAAATCTTACAAAAATCTTTAGCCTATCTTTACTAAAAACTAATCAGCACGATTATCATCTGATCTTTTCAATGGTTTTTTGAATTGTCAAAATCTGTTCAGGATCAATATATATATATATATATATATATATATATATATGTTAACTAATACTAATTGATATATCTTTATAAATATATTTTAGTATCAATTTATGTATCCACTATATTCATTTTGTGGAACATTTTTCACAATACACGAATTTATATAAAAGAGTGTACTATCTCATCACTACACTAATTTCAGTAACAATTTTTTAAGCGCAAATCAGATATATATATATATATATATATATTAGATATTAGTCTTGGATTTGTAAATATTTTGTAGAGTTTCGAACAAAGAATCCAAATGTTATAAAAAACAAAAGTTTTTTTTAAACCATTTCTTTATTTATTTACTGTCGACGTTTCGGAACTAGGTACGTTCCATCTTCAGAACATCTGTCTAGAAACATGATCTTGATATGAACAACTTTGAGCCGACATTTGCGAATCTAAATCTTAAGTTAAACAAGCAATTTATTGAAAAAAAGTAGAAAACGGTGGATTTTTATATAAAATAAATAAAATTGCGGTAGAAATAACATTACAAAATATGACAATATAATCAAAATGGAAGGAATAAAAATAAGTGTGTAGATCATATAACAAAATATTAAAAATGTTAGAAAATTAGAAAGTTTTAAAAAAGGGTTAAGAAAAATAGATTTAATTACCTATATGATTGATTATATACACTAACACTTTTTCACTAAAAACAATTTTATCAAAAAAAATTCCTTTCAGACGAAGAAATAATTTTTGTAATTCAAATATTTTAAGTTTGTTATGTGAGACAAAAAGATTTATTCCTTTGATGTTATGAGTTAACTTTTTGGTAACAAACCGATTATTGAAAGGATAAATTTTAAGGAGAAACACTTGACTTATACATGCAGATTTTTATCTTGTTAAAATTCATCCAATTACAATTCAAAATAATTTGAATTACAAACTTATTTCTTCGCCTGAAAAGAAATGTATAAAAAGATGATTTTTTATTGATAAAATCGTTTCAATCATACAGGTAATTAATTCTGTTTCTTCTTACCTTTTTTTAAAACATTTAATTTTCTAACATTTTTTATTTTGTTATGTAATCCACTCATTTATTTTTATTATTTTCATGTTGATCATATTGTCACATATTTGTAATGTTACTTCTTCCACAATTTTATTCATTTTATATCACTTTTGGGATTCTTTATTTGAAGCTTTACAAAATATTTACAAATCCAAGACTCTAACAATTTATATATATATATAATATTATATATAAATTAATATATATATATATATTATATATTAATTTGGAAATATGAACAAAACAACCTCTTTTTGCACTAATTTATTAAATAATAATTTTCACATACGTTTCGAGACTAGGTTTGTCTCATCATCAGTGTGTTGGAAGAATTAGAGTCCTTCCTTTTCTATCTGATATTGCGTGACTAACCACTTGAGATTGAATAGAGAATTCGGACTCCGACGATCGTTGGTGGGGCAGAAGACAGTATATTGAACCCTAGATAAATAAGCCTAGATAAATTGAACGACTTGTAACGGATAACACATAGTGCTAATTTAGGTTTCCATATTTTAAATTTTAAATTATAACACAATGATGATGAGACAAACCTAGTCTCGAAACGTTTGTGAAAATTATCATTTAATAAATTAGTGCCAAAAAGTTGTTGTTTGTTCATATTTCCAAATAATATCTATTTATCCACTCAGAATACATTGCTATATAATATATATATATATATATATATATATCTATATATATATATGTATATATATATATATATATATATATATATATATATATATCAAATGTATTCTGAGGAGATAGATATTAATTTAGAAATATGAACAAACAACACTTTTTTGCACTAATTTATTAAATAATTAAGAGTGTTGTTTGTTCATATTTCTAAATATATATATATTATATATATATATATATATATATATATATTAATGAAGCACAAAATATAAACGAAATATTTACTTACTCTTCAGTGAACAGATTGAAATTCGAAAGATTCAATAACAATAAATAATATATAATCTGGTCGTTGCATTAAATCTATCGCATTAGTACCGCTCACGTTCTTACTGTTTACACTGGTTGCATGTTAGCGTCAACCTATGAGGAGGCATAATATCGCGTATGGCGACCTGATACGATGCTAATGACTTATTCAAAGATTATATTATTATACCGTGGCGAAATGCCGAAGATACAAATTCGTCAACCTTGAATTGATTACGCGCTATCTACACTGTATTATCGTTTGAACAGCACAATGAATTGATTTTGCTTATTATTAACGAAATATATTGATCTGCAACTCTTGATCAATAACAAATGGTTCTA